TACTGCTCCATGACATCCAGTCGCGTCACTCAAGTACGTGCCGGGCGTTGCGCAGCCCTAGACCTGCGAACACTGGGCTGCGAAATGGTGCAAGGCGCAAACTTGACTCACGTGACCGGATTTCATTGAGCATCACTGTACATAATATTAGTATACCCTATGCATGTGTCTTCCTTGCGGTGTATTGTTCATGCAGAGCTATCTAAGCCACTGGGCCAACCAGCTCAACGTTCCCGTGGTGTCCGTTGACTACATGACGGCCCCCGAGCACCCGTACCCACGTGCCGTCAACGACTGTTTCTACGCGTACGCCTGGGTGCTGAGGAACGCCACCAGCCTGGGCACCACTGCCGAGAAAGTCATCCTGGCCGGCGACTCGGCCGGAGGTAACTTTGTCTTCGGAGTGGCATTCCTCGCTGCGCAGTACCAGCTTCGGAAGCCATGTCTGGTGCTGGGCGCGTACCCTGCTCTGAAAATCTCACTGGATCTGTCACCGGCACGCTGCCTAAGCGTAATGGATCCGCTGTTACCCATTGGAACGCTGCGGGCATGTTTGAATGCGTACCGGGGAGTGGCAGGTGAGATACCAGTTCTTCTTTTCCTTGGAAATTTCACTGTATAGTGCATTCCTGGGATTAGCAAATTAGAATTGGCAAACGTTGGCATCTTTGGATAGTGACAGCTGATAAGAGGTGCATAGACTGTCACTCCAGTAAAAATTCCTTCGGTGCAAATAGGATTGCCCATTTCACAATAATATATACCCTTACCTTGTAATGTGAACAGTCGGCGTGGAGACAGTAACTTTTAAAATTATAGCTAACGTGGTTGCGATATTGGTGTGTGACAAGCAAGGTGGCATGAAATAAAAGTTAAACTTCAACATTAAATACCCAGGGTCTAACACCCTTTTCTCCTTTCATCGGGTGTGGAGTGCTGTTTCGACGACCCTGCGTATCCTTTCCCAGACCTCAGGTGTGAAGTACCTCACCTGTGAATCACTGAGGTGGATGTCCCCTAGAGGTACCCTCAGGGAGTACGTAAATACCAGCGTTTTACTACTCCCTCATACGTTCTACTGAAGTTTGACTGTATGCGACGTAGTGACAATGATAGGCGTTACATTACTTTGTCCACGCCAACGTAGGCACCTTCTCTGGGAGGTTGCTCAGTGCACCCAATGTGAGAGCTGTTCGCACAATATGGGCCGGAATTGGCTGTAGGCTGCAGTCTCCCTCTGCGTGCGTGTGTGTGTGTGTCCACGTGTACTACGGTGAAACTACACCAAGTCACGTTCTTAGCACATCGACAATCAACTTTCACACTTCATGTCTTGTGCTTATGCAATGTGAAAGAACCTACAGTGCTGCTCAATGAAATCCAGTCGAGTCACTCACGTACGTGCTGGGCGTTGCCCTAGACCTGCGAACATTGGGCTGCGAAATGGTGCAAGGCGCAAACTTGACTCACGCGACCGGATTTCATTGAGCAGCACTGTACTTTAAAGTGCTTTGCTGTGACTTTGTCACTTTCTGGTTAGCTGTGATTTTGTCACTTTCTGGGTAGCTGTGTATGCTGTGCACAACCGGATTTCATTGAGCAGCATTGTATGGTTTTGTCACTTTCTGGGTAGCTGTGTGCACATCACCTCAAGCTTTGATTTTCATCACCTCGAGCTTTGATTTTCATCACCTGGAATTGAAACAAAACTGCGTCGCTTCCTTTGTCCTGCTTTCTTTATCTGATGCAACGTTGGTGATGGATGAGGACAGAGAGCTCTGTGACTAGAGGCAGGTGTTTGGTGGACGTGGACCGTGTGACTTGCCTTTGCCCTTGCTATAGTCTCCTTAAAGTCATCGGAATCCACTCTCTCAGTCTCTCTGTGCTCGCGCTGCTAGGCTATGCTGTGGATGTACTCCGCAATGCTGATTGCTCTGTGAGTACCAGTTCATGGTGTTCTTCTCTTGTCCTGTCCAGCACGCCAGAGTATCACCCGAACACCGGTCACCTGTCACAGCTGCAGTCGGGCATCCACCAACGTCATGCCACCATCCTGAATGCTTCGCCGGCCTACCTCTCTCCACTGCTGGCCAGTGATGAGATGCTGCACAGCTTACCATCGGTTGCATTGCTGGTAAGCCACTATAGCACACATGGCAGTACGGTATGAGTTATGCATTCACATACCAGTAGCTGAGGAGTGCTAATTCCGTACTTATCGTATTGACAAACTGGCCTATTGATCAGGAACTGTCCGCAAATACACCCCTGTCCAATACTCTTTCGAGAAGGAACCTTTCCGATGCCCCGGAAAACCCAAGCACTGCTATACCACACGTAGGTGTGTGAATTGTGACTAGATGCAATAGTCATGTACATGTAACTAAGTTAGGCAACCTTACAACATGTGCAATGTTGGAAGTGTGTTTCACCAAAAAGGAGACCTAGAGTAGAGAGTCTTCTGTGTAGTCTCTACATGTGACATGATGAGCATGTAAACAACCTAATTCTGAAGTACAGTCATGCACATGTACGTACTTCACAGGATCTGCTGGAGCCACAGAGTCAGAGGTCAGCAATGTTGTGACAGGCCCTGGCCTGTAGCTCTGGGTCTGGGTGTGATGTACAGTCAGATCTCGCTTATCCGGATCCCTCGCGACCCGGAAGAAAATAGCTGGCTACAGATTTACAGCATACGTGATGCATCCAATGTAACCGGTGTTCGGTTATCCAGTTCCCTCGCCTATCCGGATATTTTTGTGGAAAACGGATGTGTGCGGTTAAGCGAGGTCTGACTGTACTGTTAGCATTTTCAAGCCTTTAATACTGATCAATGCAAGGAGCAGTCTGTGTGTATTGAGTAGCGATGTCTGGAGCAGCTAGTCTGTGTGTAATGAGTAGCTGGCCATGTGAGTTCCATAGAAAATCGATTGTGCCTGAGACATATTGCGTGTCTGGGAAGGGGTGTTAATAGAGAGGTTAAGCTTTACGTGACACGAAAGTTCAGCTCGCGCGTTGGAAAACAACGCAAGTGACCTGCAGCTCACGTCGAAATTTGGAGGTTTACGCCTAATTTGACGTGATATTGCGCATCACGTCAGAAATAACGTGCAGCTTAACCTCTCTCTAATAGTCAGTCATGTGAAGTGTACACAGAGCACCTTGGTAAGCACATAATTATAGATCATCTACATGTATGTGCTGGACCCTGCTAGGAATGGGAAGGTGGGTTACTAGCACCCCTTCCACAGAGAGTAGTGTGCAGTATGAGCTGATAGAACTTCCATGACAGCGACCTCCATTGGAGAAGGACCCCTGCTGTCTAGTGGAAGAGTTGCCTGAGGCTCAGCCGTACTTCTTATCGGTATCTTTGAGTACAAGAACATTTCAAAATGCTACATTATTGTGCTCCTTTGTGGGTGTTCAAGTAAGAAAGCTATGTTTCTTTGCCGATAGATTTCTTCGTGCTATGGGTCATCTCTTACTCTGTGTGTGTGTGTGTGTGTGTGTGTGTGTGTGTGCCAGCTAGTTCAGTTGGTGGGTACACTTATGCCTGTGTTGGGTATGTTGCCAACGGGCTCGGCTGCTTGAAGGTGTAATGTTGTACTTGCCACCTTTGTTGGTTCCAGGGTTCATATACTTTCTATTTGAAGTATACATACCTGTTAACCATGGACTGCTTCTGGCTAGATTAACTCTTGTGTAATCGATGGTGCTAGTGATGTCTAAATCAGATCCAGCCTGATTTAGCCACCCGCACTAGTAGCAAGTATTACCTCCACTGGGGGCAGGGGTAACTGCAGTTGGATCCCAGGACGGATACCCTGATGCCGTCAATCCTTTTTCTGCACCTTGTCCACACCCACTTACTGAGGTGTGGTGAGCCCATAAGTGGGATCATTTTCAAGTCCACCCAGCGTTTTGGGGATTTCAGGGGTGTCGGCCGGTGGGCGGTTCAATAACCAATTGAGTCATCTTTCCAAGATTCCTTTAGAGTCTCTCTCCCCTCTCCCGGGGAGACCCACGTGACCAGTTTTGGCAGTGAGCAACAAGTACAAGTACAGGTGTGTGTGTGTGTGTGCATGTGTGTGTGCGTGTGTGTGCATGTCTCTCTCTCTCTCTCTCTCTCTCTCTCTCTCTCTCTCTCTCTCTCTCACACACACACACACACACACACTCTCTCTCTCTCTCACACTCTCTCTCTCCATCCGTTCTGTTGTACCTTTCAGCCAAGTTCATTTGACCCCCTCTTGGATGATTCCATCGTCATGGCGCGTCGTCTGCACGCACTCGGCAAGGATGTGACACTACACCCATTCGACGGAATATCCCATGGCTTCCTCAACTTCCACGCAGTCAGCCGCTTGGCGCAGCAAGCCACCGACGTGTGCATTGAGTTGATGGACGCAGCAATCAAGCAACACGACCAAGATGTTTAGTCGTGATACAAGTAGTCCCTATTGCAGTATGAGATGTCACCACTCATGCGTTCTCAGTGCAGCACCGGACATTTGCCCATTGGCACTCATTTTACGAGTATTGAACTATTTAAAAAAATACTTAAGCAAGGTCCATAATTAGTTTTATTCCCGTAGCTATGCAGAAGACGTTACTTCAGTAACGTCTGGCGCTAGCCAGGGTCCACACAGCTTTAATTTAGTGTTTGTGTGTTTGTGTCACGCCTGGCGCTATCCCGTATCTGTCCCGTACCGTACCATCAAACACAGCTGGCCGCAATATTCAAATAGGGCTTTCAACCGCAAGATCATAACGTGAAGCAACTTGGAAGAATGAGTATGAATGCGAAGTGTATGGGGGAATGCATGTAGGGCGATAGTGCGGGTTCGAATCCCAGGTAATGCCCGAAAAAAATAGGAGAATTGAAAAATTTATAACATCCAAAATTTTTTTTGCCGTCATCAAGGCGGTAGACGGTGTCGTATTACCCTCGACCGTACCTATCCCGACCGTACCGTACAATCAAAAACGGCTGGCCACAATGCATATTCCAATAGGGCTTTCAAATACAAGATCATAACGTGAAGCAACTTGGAAGAATTAGTATGTATGCGAAGTGTATCGGGGGATGCATGCAGGGCGATAGTGCGGGTTCGAATCCCAGGTTTAATATGTCTAAAAACAAAAAGTAGAAACTTATAAGAATTTATGACATCCCTATGCTTTTTTTTGTCTCGGTCATCAAGGCAAAAAAGCATAGCGTAGGGCCCTGAGCTTCCAAGCTCTCTCGTTACCAAGCATCAAGTTGAAGTGGTTTGGACATGTTGCAAGGCATCAGGATAGCTACTCCCACTACTTCTTGGATGGAATAGTGCCTGGTTCTTGGCTGCATGTAGTCTAGCCTATTTTGCACTAGCGTGACCCATGCTACCGGCATACCAACAGCTCCTAAACAAAAAATAATGCGGTGCCCACGTTATTGTTGATATAAATATGACTGTGGCTAGTAGGGTAGTGAGTCAACACAGTAAAGAAATATACACCAGTTCTATGTGCGATAGTGCAGATCTGATACTTGCTGGATATAACATTGGAGGTTAGCGTCAATATGCACTTGGAACACTAGGGACAGTCCAGCCATCCTAGATGACTACATTATCATACTCCCATCAGAGGGTGTACATGATTTAAACATACACACATAAAACGAGGCACTCAACTGTGAATGTACAAAGAGCCATGCGAACACGTAGTCTACTGTAAAACGACAAACTTTCGCGAGCGATTAACTTTCGCGACTTTCGCGAGCAGGGTCGAATCGCGAAAGTTTGACACGCGAATATGAAATTTGTACTACGCGATCGATGCGTCGATGATCGATCGTTTTGCAACAGATTTTTACAGTACGAGTAGGTCTACGTGCGCGCGCATGTATCACTCACTGCACTGACTGTACATTCACAGCGCTGATCGATGCTTGCACGGCCGGCTATGTCCAACCAAAGAGCGCAGCTGTTGCAATGACGGGTTACGTACCAACACCAGTCTTGCAAGTAAGGGTTGGTTCACATATCGCCGGTACGCGCCGGGAGTCACCGGCGGTGGGCTTATTGCAACCTCTCCCGGCGCATTGCGATTATGTGAACCAGTGCAGTCGTAACAAAATCACACGGTAAAATATCGCAAGGGACCGCCGGCAAAGTTGGACAGTGCCCAACTCTTGCGATCTGCCCCGGCGCCGATCCCGTACAATTTTGACCAAAAGTGGTTTGTGAACCGTTCGCGCCGGTGATCGCCGGCTGCCGGGAGCCAGACTTTGTCAAAATATCAAACCAACACTTGTCCTAAATTTTCCTCAATTGAAGCTAGAGAGGAGGTCCGTTCGCCATTCTTGTAGTCGCTTCAAGGTGGCAAATAAGTCAGCATACCAGCCCGTCCTTCTCGGATGATCTGCTTGACCATTGTGCAACTTCTGAGACAAATACAATTGAAACAAATAGAAAATATGATGGATACATTGGCAAGTTCTTGTGACTTCACCAACGTTTGCAAGCATAATTTCGACACAATCGCTTACTAGACTGCAATAAAATGTGTAGAAGTATTTTCATGATCTCCAGTAAAAGTAGCACCGAGTGGCCATCACCGAAAGACCTTGAACTACTGAAGAAACAAAGAATTCAAGCTTCAATTGGCAAACCTGTCGTAGCATTTGGGCACATTCTGTACTACTTTGTAGTAGATTTGGTACTCGAACCGTATGCGCAACGGATCGGGAGCTGGCTCACCGCCGATGTCTTGCGGCGCCGATTTTGCTTATGTGAACCAACCCTAACAAACATTAGTTGTCGTTGGAGTACGGCGACTTGAACCAGAGGAGAATAAAACGATCGACTGGAGAATGTCTCAGTGTTGTGGAGAGTGTTGTTGAACTTCTTGGAGCGTTTGGCCAGCTTGCTGTTGCGTAGATTTTAGTGTTGTACTGCTCGAAGATGTCTTCTGAATTTTATCGCGATGAGTATCGCAGTGGCTCAGCAGTTCGAAGAGAAAGTCTTCCAATGATCCCTCTTCGAACGTGCCATCCTTTCTCTCAGTACTAGTACTTACCTTATGGTTCTCTTTGATGCCTTGATTCCTTCTTACATTCCTTGATTCCTTCTTTCATTCTTTGATTTCTTCTCTCATTCTTCATGCACTCTGCGCCCAGCACTCCGAGGCTTCGTAAAATATAATTCTTTGATTTTCGGTGGAAGGTAAAAATCGCTAAAATTAATCGCCGCTAACTGGTCCAGTTTTCCAAAACGCTAAATTTAGCCGCCGCGAAAGTTTGTCGTTTTACAGTATGTCTTTTTCTTAGCCTTGGCGCGGGGCACCTTCGTGTGCGCGGATGCCCATGCCTTGAGGGCAAACAGCTTCTTGCCCAGGTCAGTCAAGTCGACACCAGCTAGTTCAACCTACAAGTACACCGTGTAAACACAGAGATAGCACTGTGTTACATGTGTGTATCAAGACTCGCTGACTGAAGACTCACGAATCATGCATGCTCATATCACACGTGCGCATGCGAGACAGGAGACAGTTTGGGGAATGTCATCACACAGGAAAACAACACTAGCACATCGTTACACCACTGGCACTATGATAGGCATGTGACGTCACCCGGATGATGTGGATACATGAATGCAAGGGTATCCGGCATGTGAATACAAGAACACAGACAACAGCACAATAGGCACACAGCTACAGGAAACAACGCGAGGGGCAGTACCCAGAGCACACACAGGGAAGCGAACAATCACATGATCCGCTAGGCAGCAGCAGGACAACAAAACAGCCTAAGGACTACGAGATCTCGTATACTTAGCAGCAGGACAGACACATCCATTACTGGTCACATCAGCCGGCGGAGCACCCGCAACATACCTTGTCCTTGATAAGCTGTCCACGATTCTTAGCTCGTTCTGAGCGGAGGTTGATGGATGGGAACATCTTTACAAATTGAACATACCTGCAGAGGACATTGTAGGTCCACAAGAACTTGTCATAACACGAACCCACACATAGCCTAGAGGGATGATCCTTTCCCACCAACGACTACTATTCAAGACTTCAAGTACCATAGTACAATACATGTCAGTAGCCTATAGCGATAAGCAGCCCATAATTAAGTTCTCCGTATTCCAGGAGGGTCTAGATGCTGCTAGATATCCGGAGAGCATCATCTACTCATGTACCGTAGACCAGAGCTTTATCATAGATATCAGTCTGGTTGGTGAGAACTGAGTAGGCGGGAAAGCACCTAGTACAAACCACTGCATCAAACTTTAAAACAAATACGGACACACACACACGAGCGCACACTCATACACACAGGCACACGAATACTCATATACGTAGCAGTGTTCTGACGTACCTTGCTCGCGTGCTGTTGTTGGGCCGACTGCCGTGCGCCACACGCTGGTCCCAGATGAGTAAGCTGCCAGCACGCATGGGTACTCTCTGGGGCTGTTTGTACATGGGATCATGGCCATGCACAGGTATAAAGTTCTACAAAGAGAACACAGAGATCACAGGTAACAACCAACCATTTGAATGGTAAAGTAGTCGTTGTTGATGAAATCCAGCCAAATAAAACATCAGTACCCCGCAGCAGTACACAGACAACTGTCCCTGTGGGCAACAACTGTATGGTCCTGACCCTAGTTGAGCATGATAAGGCTGGATTTTGCTGGACATGACAGTCGTTTTAAAAAGCAGCACAGTCCCGGAGAAGGTTGCAGGAGAAAACAAGTAGCTGTAGAGAGAGTTTGTTTTTTGCAGATTTAGATTTATATTGCTCCAGGAATGGTCAAGGGTGAACAAGGGTCTTGTCAACTGCACAAAGGTGTTGTTTGTTGCTCGGACCGCGGTCACGTTCTCAGTACTGAATATCACACCAGCCTTGTCGCGCTATACATTGTGCCGTGGTGGTCACAGGTGAACGCGTTGGAGTGTCGCTTCTCAACAGAGCCTACAAAACAAAGTCATGGCGCGTGTGCCGTTATCACCGTTTGCATGAAGCCTCAGATGTCGCGGAGTGATTCTTAGTTTCTTACCTTGACTTTCGCTCAGCTCCCCGGCAAGTTTTCCTGTTTCTGTAGTTACGTCATGACCAGTATGGCACTCAGCTGTGGGGTAGCTAAACGATGAACCTAGTAGGGTGCAGAAAAAAAACACATATACACCATACATTAAAAATCCGGTTTGCATCAGCTGTGGATTTTTCAACTCCCATCCTCCCAGTCCCTGCAGAGAAACTTTGGTATAATTAGTCTGATGTGATATTGAGTCGCGTGATATTGCAAGATAACACACAAAATGTCACACAAAATGTCACACATTGAGTGCCAGATTAGATAACATTCATATCACTTATGTTACATGGACAAATGTGGGCACAAGTTATGCGATTGAGTCTACCAACTAAGCCAGATTTTGAAGAGTCAGACGTGCACAATCCAGCACAAAACTGACAAGGAGCACGGAGACATTCCACGGCATGAAAGTGCCTTGTGCCCACATTTTTCCATGTTACAATTTTTTCTTGGCTCACCGTCTGAGTTCCAATCTCTTATGTGTCGAGTTATAGTATTCTTGAATTGTGTTCAGTTTATCATCATTATAATAAGGTCGAGCATTGAAACGATTGTTTTCAGAATCAGAATATTCATTGAAATGCTGATAAGTAGTTGATACGTGTGGATAACACAAGTGGTTATTTGTAGAGGTTATTCTTCTGGCAACTTTTTATTTCGCCATTTGTTTGGATAATGAACCTACCGTTCGCACAGACTGAGCTCACACAACTTCTCAGCTTCAAGGGCAGTCGTAACTGACTTCTTTAGTTTCTCCAGCTGGGTGTTGTGTCCTCCACCTTGTTTCATGCTGTCAAACTAACAACATGTGTGAACTATAACAAGGTTTATCTAATACTAGTATTGTACTAGTATTGGGTTTGTACAGTCTATATCCAGCCCACTGATAATGGTGCAGAGCCACTCCGTTTTATGTGTCTATCAGCACTGCTTGTTGTACTGTTGTGCATTATCATACTACTACGCATTCGTTCCTCATGTTGTATTCACGTCTGATGCGCGTAGTCGCGTACACTGCTTTCATTCCTCATGTTGTATTCACGTCTGGATGCGCGTAGTCGCGTACACTGCTTTCACTTCTCATGTTGTATTCACGTCTGATGCGCGTAGTCGCGTACACTGCTTTCGCGCAATCTTTTGATTTGAATGTTTTTTGAATCTCCGCTTCTGCTTCGAGAGAAGCAGAACTTTCCTTTGTACTGCAAGATGATTTCGATCAGAGTCAGAGTAAAACATTATAATACAGTCTTCTAAAACAACGAGTCGTGTGCTATCCGGAGGCATGTTCGAGTAAGAACAGGGTTATATAATAGTACTTGTCTGTATCAGAGGGTCCCGGGCATCATACAGGCGTAGGAATAGGGCCTTTGTAAATAGCTGCCGTTCTTTGCCAGTACGGTAATGTTTCTGTGGGCTCTTTTACCTAGGGTTTTTGTCTCTTTTTTGTGTTCCAATTGATTTTTACTTTTTATTTTTGTGTTTAATACTAACATTCATGCATTTTTATGACTTGAGGCTGCACGCGTGCTAGAGTGTACGTGAAGTGTGTGGGTACAGTGAGGGCTGCGTCCCACCCGCCTGTGTGGATTCACAGGAAGTGTGAGTTACGAAGTCTGAAGAAAATGTTGAACGGTCTCTGCTGGGATGACGACTACACCATAGCTCAGTGGTTAGAGCATCGCTAGCTACAAGCGAGGGTCCCTGGTTCGAGTCCTGGTGGTGACAGTCAATTTTTTGTTCAGACTTTTCCCGTTTGTCTCTTTCCCTCAAACTAGTGAAGATTCATGCATTTAAATTGATTTTTGTACTTCAAAGTAGTTTACTGAATTTGAATTTGTTTGATGATATGTGCAATTCATTTTTCCCGCACAAGAGGCTTTACTAGTACTTACCTGCGGAGGCATTGGTTGTGAGAGTTACCACCTCACCCTCGCAGTTTGGCGCTGCATCCCCTCTGAGATGAACGGCTGCTGAAAATGTTATTGCGTCTGCGTTGTTGTGACTGCTTTTGCTACGCTGCCTGCTCTTCTTGACATTGCTGCTGCTACGAGTACGAGTTCGTACTGCAGTCTTCTGTCTTGGCAATTACTGCACTAATAAATAATATTGAAGTAATAATATTCACTGGTACAGTGGTAGAATTAGTTGAAAAAGACATCATGATATTGATAATACTAGTAAATTATTACTAGTAATCATCGAAAGAAGTGAACATGAACCGCTTCGAACACACGTTCGGCAAATATTTTTCCCTTGGCCGCGGGCCTAGCCTGGCCGTAGCTGTAGCTCAAGACTGCACTCGTACTGGGTCACGGCGAAGTGTCTCACTCGCTCTACCGCCGCAAGTCTGGAGCGCTTTGCGCTGGTGGCTCTCGCGTGCGCGCGCTTCTGGTTGCCATGGTGCAAAAACTGCCGCACTCCTAGACCAGCGTCCCTTTAGTCCTTCGCAATTACATCCTTTCGTCAGTGCGTGCGCGAGCGTTCCCATTTCGATTTCGTATCACACACACGTGCTCACCTAAGAAATCCAAATTTCCAAATCCGACAGTATCACGTGCAAACACTCCGAAATCCATGGAACTTTTGACCTTTGCAAGGCAGAAAGGAGAAAATCAAACCGCGGTTTTTTGACTCAAGACGTCTCAACACGGCCACATGTACATGTACCAGATCACCACATGGCCATGCGCATACAGTATGCATGGCCGGGGATATGGTCAACTGATCGTCCTCGAGTTTCTGACCTGAGTGAGCGGTGCACTTGTGCATGTGGCCAAGGTTGTAGCTGTGCTTTCTCTCTCAACTCTAGTCTTGACTTTTGGCGGCCTGAAAACAAAGACCGAGGATGGCTGAAAAGAAAGTCTTTACCAAGGCTGAAATCGCCGAGCACAACTCCAGCAAATCGTGCTGGCTTGTAATCCATAACAAAGTCTACGATGTGACGAAGTTTCTGAATGAGGTAATCTTCCAGTCAATTGTTGAAATGGATGTGTACAATTAATTGTTTAGTTTGAACAGTTATCTTGTTTGTACGTGGTGGATTTGTCATTTACCTTGCTTTTCTATTGGCGATCTTCCTATGTGTACTTGCCATGCTATGTAGCATCCCGGCGGTGAGGAGGTTATGCTGGAAGTGGCTGGAGTTAGCTGTAAGCAGGAATTATGATCATGAATTATTGGGTTCTTTCTATTTTTTGAAAAATCATCATGTCGGTCCTGTTACTATTATTAAGTTCAAAACCCTAGTCTAACAGATGAGGCTGGCGTAGCATTTGGATCCATACCGGATGTGGGGCATGTAATGTAGTGTACTGTACATGATAGTAGTGATGACGTTGGACTGTCTGATCCAGTGCAATGACTATGTACCATCATGTAGCTCTATCATGTCTAGTAGACACCTGGACTGGACATGTACCATTGAGATAAACCCTACATTGGTTATTTTGTTTCTCCAACGCCCAAATCAGTTACTGTGTGTATACCATAGCATGCAGTACTTGGGTTGTCATGGCTTGAGGCACAAAGTCTATTTCTGCTCTGTGCCAGAGTACTGAAAGGGGAAGCCCGTTGACACCGGGTGCTGTGTGTGTGGGGGGGGGGGGGTCCCAATGCAGCCAGGTGTGTTGTCCAGTAATACCGTATGCCAATATCACAACCTCTCTGTTTTTGTTGATTTGCTCGTGCAATGTGTAGCCTCTGGCGCATACGCCACTTCAGCCTTTGAGGATGTCGGCCACTCAACCGATGCACGTGCGATGCTGAAGGACTATCTTCTGGGTGACGTGGCGGAGGTAAGCGTTGCTTTAGTCTGCTCTTCTACCCTCGTGGCTAGATCTTTTGAATGGAAGTAGGTTGCAGTACATGTACGGAGTTTCACCATTGTAAAAAAAGTGGCATCCCCTGCCAGCCCTTCTCATGACAACTTTAAGAGGGGGTACACACAATACAGCAATGCAGTGGTCTACACTGATCCTCAGTACACCCCATTGTACAAATCCTAACATCAAGCATTGTTGCTAATGGAGCATTGTTGCTAACGGACAATTGTCAGGGCACGTTCTTGTGTGTAAAACAGGTTTCTGCTCCATCTGTCCTTATTCTTTGTTGTTGTTGTTGATGTTGTTGTTGCTGTTGTTGCTGTTGTTGTTGTTGTTGTTGTTGTGTTTGATACAGGCTGACCGTGAGGATGACACGTCGTCGGAGCCGGTAACCAGCTCTTGTGTGATATGCTAGGGCATGTGTCTAGTTGCTGGTGTGTTGATCACCAGCTTACTGCCGGACACAGTCCTGGGCACGGTTAGGAGAGAACTTAGCTGCTCAGTGCTCCCAAATTGTTGACATACATCTTGGCCTCTGGTTTGTGCTGGCATCATGGCACTGTATGTGTACCCTTGCATGCACGTGCACACAAACACATGCACACGCACAATGCTCTTCTCTTACCAGCAGTGGCGTTTGGGCTGAGATTGTGAGAAGAGCGGGTGCTGCATGTAGCTGCTTGTCGACCCGTACCAATTTGTGCAATGCAGACCAGCATATTGTACGCATTTGAAGCGGGTTATTCTGTTCTGAGCATGTTGATGGTAACCCCCATGTGAGATAATCAATACGACTTTGTCAGTGCTCTGTTTCACTTAGCGCCTACCCTGGTATCATGGTGATTGGTTTTTGAATGCAAGCGTTGCACTATCATTGCCTTGAAAATTGACTCCCAAGACAAACTCATGGGAAAGGACTGGTAAATCATTGTGTGTGTGTGTGTGTTTAGGTAAAGACGACACCAAGTGCTCCAGAGGCTAAGTAAGTAGTCTGACTTGTGATTGGTGTTGCTACTACTCTAGTATGGGGTCTCTCCTCGATGTTCACCGTGTGCCACAACCGTGTAAACGACATGTGGCAATGGGTCAGGCAATGGGTCAGGCATTGTGCTGCACGTACTGTACTTTCTAATTTCTATGCACTGCTGCTGCTGCTGATGATGATGATGATGATGGATGTGCTGAGAGCTGTGCAGTGTGCTTGTGACACATTGCCATGTATGCACAGGTCAGGCAGGCAGGCCCGGAAAGTGGAAATGACTATGCGCTGCATGCCGGCATAGAAAATGAAAATTAATGGTAACAAATATCGTGGACGCCGCTGAATACTTAGTACATGTTTGCAACTGTGTCCTGTGTTGTTGCAGCGGCGGCGGTAGCTCATTCATGACCGTGCTCGTTCCCATCGCCGTTGTCCTCCTTGGAGTAATTGCCTACCGCTATTTCATTGCTCAATAAGATCCTACTGCGGGCCTGTTGCTGCTGCTGTTGCTGCTGCTGCTTCAGTATTTAGCCAGGCGGTACAAGTAGTTTCATGGACTATTGCCGTGTTGTAGAATTGGGTAAGGCCTGTCGCTGTTCTCTATGTTCTCATCTGTTTAACTCAGTAGTGGATGCTGTGCTGGCTCGTTATCATTTGCTCATTTTAATGCAAGCTTTCACTGTTCCGTTGGTCAAACCAGCACAGGATCCATTGCACGCTATGATCTTCCATACGATTTCGACGCTGCTTGCTTCTGTTTTTTCTTTCTTATGCCCTCTCCTCTTCAATGTCGCCATAGTTTGTTGCCGCCTGGCTCTAGAGATCTGGTTCCAATTGATGCCAGCAGCGCACATGCCAGCGCCTTGTACAAAACTGCTGTACTGCTGTATGTTGACAGCTCACTAGCTAGGTATGCCTCAATACCTCCATCTCTTTTTAGAAGCCACATTCGAACTTCGAAGTCACCTGCCAAGATTGGTAACAGCTTAACAGGGAGAATACATCATTCTGATGGAAGCTGTGAGCAGAGGCTGGCTGGTAGTCGGGCCATGTACCATAAAATAGCGGTCCAGCTGCCCCTGGCTTGAACCAAATCCTGTATCTGTGAAAGAACCCGCGCTATGCACACACTTTCTTCAGTATACAATCTCATCCTTCCGGTACAAGCAAGCAGCTGAGTTTGCATTGAAGATCACATTGAGTGGTGGTTAAAACCTACAAATAGCGCATGGAAGTGGCGGCATGGGTTGTTACCCCAGATGGTGCTTACTCTCGCGTGCCTTTGCGGTGCTGTAAATGCACAGTCCAGACTCCTACCCCCGGTTATCTGAGCACTTTGGACAAGCATGTTTGATGGGGCCATGCTCTGATACTCTCACCAGACCTATGTCACTCTGACACGCACGTAGTGATGGCCAAAGATGGTCTCTATTTTATACCCTGACACACACATTGTTCAGTATCACATGCCTCCGGGGGCTGTAAGAATCATTTTACTCATGCTTCATGGAAAAAAGAGGCAATGTATAGTCTGGATACTTCAAATGGCCATTGCATAATTATACCATTGCCTTGTGATTCTGTCTCCGGGGAAAATTGCGGGAAAAAATCGCAAAAAACGCGGCATAATATGGCATAATTTGCGGTAAATATGCGGTGAATAATATTGATGTGCGGCAATTTTCAGTGAGTATGTAGTGAAATCAATCAGTTACAAGTCTCTGGTGTAAGCACTCGTCATATTTGAGTAAAAAGCCGCCACGATGAGACGTTGCTGACCGAACAGTGCACTGTGTGTACGTGTAGTGCAACAAAAAAGTTCAAAAAACGCGGTCTTATAAAAATTCGCAAAAAACGCGGGAAAAAAACGCGGCCGTGGAATCGCAATTTTCCCCGAGGACAGGTGATTGCATGCACTCAATGACTAACTACCAACTTCACAGACAAGACAGGTACGAACGAAAACTGCAGTAATGAATGAAGTTCAACCACTGTCAAAATTATGACAATAATTATTGAAACTGCAAGTAAGTTCAGCATGGAAATATCAAAAGGCTCCTGTTGTACACAGCAGTTGCTAGAGGTACTGCGTTGGTGGACTCGACGCTACTTCCGTGCGACCTTAGTCAATAGTAGTGTTGTACAGTGTCGGTATGGGACTGCACATTTGCACTTTCCAGGCATTCAGACTGTGTGTATACGCAAACCACTAATGATCGCCCTTCAAACACAATCACTAATGTCTAATGATCGCCCTAACTCACGAACAAGTACACTTGATACAAATCGCTTGGTTCCCCATAATAAAGGTGTGTACGATACTTTCACAGCACTCTCTGTGGCCTGCGATTTGATTGGAGCATGCACTGCTTTAAAGAGTCTAACGCCTGTCTGAATGGGTAGCTACACTTGTGGGTGTGGGTGCACAACACACTCCAGAGCGGCCAGACACATTCAAGCAAAGCAATTCGTTTTCTTACACATGTGATCAGCCTAGTTGTAGAACTAGAAGTCTGTAAGGCAGTTCGAATACAAGATGAGGTTGGCAGACGCAACAGCTTTAGTTTTAGAAGCAAACATGGGGAAGTCCCAGCAGAAGAATGCAATACTAGTCACTAATATAATCTGACGGGGTACGCATCGTTCTTATATTACCCTTAGCAGATGGCAACGTTAGGCGAGATTCTAATCATGGATGAGCTCATAAACATGACTCCTTTTCTAGAAATAGCCAAGAGAACGAAAATGCATATCAACAAACCTAAATGTCAAAACGTTTCTGTTGACAAAGAGAAGCAGGCAGTCCCGGTGTCTAGCAATGAGCTTCATGAAAAGCAGATCGGTTTACGAGATGAAGATACTTTCGAAAGTACGCAAGACAGGCCTAGAATCATGGACGGATGTAGAGAGTGTGTATGTGTACTGCGCGCACGAGCTAGACTGTGACAGTAAGCGATGCACACAGTAACTGACCAGGAAAGCATGAGTGCCTTGATGTTCATGATGGTAGTGCGCGTTCTTCACACAGGACTATAGAAAATGGGCAATCGACTTATTTAATCAGCGACAATGCCCGGTGTACAGACATTAGAACACCTTTGGAGCTTTGGACGCCAGGTTCACGGGAGAGATGGTAGCCACGGTCGCGCTGGTGGAATCTCCACTCAGATGTCCATTCTGCTGCTGTCGTGATGGTGAAGCACCAATTTGATCTAAAGCCAACAACAACATTTAATCGACAAAAGGAACATAAGTTTAATTTTAATTAATACTGTTGCCATGATAGTGTCAAGAGCCACACCAGCAGCATTAGCAGCAATGTAAGGAATGCTGGATATCACCATGGTGACAACAAGCACACAGCGTACGGCCGGCCTACCTGAAGGTACGTAGAAAGTGAACGACGCGGCCCAGCCATGCTGCACTGCAGCGTTCCGATCGGTCTCGTTTTCAGAGAGCAGGAAGCGGAGCGGGTCGCTCACGGAATCCTCCGTGCCGCGGGTCGAAACGAATACGGGCTGGCGGCCTGCCTGCGGCGAGCCGTACGCATGGAATGAGAACACGTCTTTCCACCTGCCAAACTGGTTGCGTAAGGACAGCCGGAAGCGAGTTGGGTTTTCTAAAACAGAAGGCCAGACAAAACAAAACAAGCCATTGACTTGCAAGACAACCTAACTCTTCTTCTTCATCACTACTTGTAGGAGTTATTTAGGACATTTGCCTCTTGAAATCACGCACACGCCATTACTCAATCTCACCGTACAGATCAAGAGTAGGAGCAAGATTGACAACAAATCGACTACCGCACTCACCAGCTCTGAGCACGAAGATCTTGCGCGTGCCCGGAATCTCCTTGGGGAAGGCCATGAACGTGAACTTGGCGCGCCACGGCTGCCGCGGAGGCTCGCGGCCAACTTGAATACGCTGCGGGTCGTTCTTGGCGTTGCTGTTGCTGCCGCCACACTCGCTGACGTAGTAACGACTTGGCTGTGCTCCGCCGCTACCACTGTCCGTCTGATTCAGACCAGCTAGACAGGAAAACAGAAGAAGAAAAAAATGGGAAATCACACATCGTTCAATACTACAACTGAGACACTAGATATAGAGTGCAAATAAAATGTAAAGCATGCCACAATGCTAGCGAAGTCTAACCCTTTTACGGTCTCACATTTTTTCAAACTATCGTAACTCAGTCAATTTTTGAGCAAATTCGAACATCTAAATATCTGGGTTGAAGAGAAAGCTCCAGGCTATTCGTAGGAACAATCGCCGAAGCGATAGAGTGAACGGCTGCGATGCTACGAAGCTCGCGATCTGCGTCACGGCTCATTTGCGATTTGAGTGGGCGAGCTGGGTCTTGAGGACGGGTTTTTCCCTTTGCAGCTAGCTGTCGCCACAGAGACACGGATTCAAATGAGAGTATGGACTCGCAGCACTCCTCACAAAAAATGTGAGCTCGATGTGAGCAAGGAGAGGGAAATGGCTGTTGAATCTTGTTTCTCGTCGTGAATCAAGCACTAGGGCGATGTCGCTGCGCTGCAGCGCTGGACCCACGGCACGCTTGGTGTCGAATTGTAGCTCGGCGTGTTGCTCGTGTCCAGAGCTTTCCAGAGAGCCCAAGATCACGAAAATCAGCGAAGGGAAACTGAAGTTATGGGTGAATCAAGGTACGAAATTGTTGAATTCTGTAAATAGCCTCATTTTGACGGAATTCTGAGACCGTGAAAGGGCTAAAGGCCGCTGCATACTTCATTTCGCGTACAGGAAAGTCATCGCGCGATCGTCACGCGATGACTTTCCCGTACGCGAAATAGTCGAGCTCAAGTCAACTTTTTCGCGACGCGACGCGTTTCCCGTACGAGACATGAAGTATGAATCAGGCTTAAGAGCGGACGCTTTCGAATAAGTTAGAATCTAGCCTGTGTATTTCCAAGCAGTATGTTTTTCAGCTGGCCCGTGCACATTGACAGCACAAGTTGTGTCCTGACGAGGGCTGCACATGTCTAACGTGCTAACAGGACGTCATCACACTAAGAAGCTCAAACCTCTTTGGAGATGAAACAATTTTTTTACAGAAGAAGTGCCCCTTTCTCTGTGCTACCGTAAGTTGTTCTTTGGCATGCATAGACCAGGAGAGATACTCAGCCTTATGCATTTTGTCGTACTTATGGCAACTTGAAAGTACAAAAAACAAATTTCAGAATCATATAATTATGGGTCTACACATGCCAAAGAGCAATTCGGAACTAAAAAACAGCACTTCTTCTGTAAACGTTTTCCACAAAAGATACGTGTTGGTATAATGATATGTGATCTGATTGGGTTTACATGCAAGTTTCGTTGCACAAACAGCTCAAGGTGACCTACAGTGTAAAGCCTGATTCATACTTCATCTCGTGTACGGGAAACCCATCGCGCGATGGGTTTCCCGTACGCGAAATAGTTGAGCTCAGATCAACTTTTTCGCGACGCAACGCGTTTCCCGTATGCGACATGAAGTATGAATCAGCCTTAAGCATACTGCGTGTGGTACATAACTACACATACTATGCAGACTTACCCGTGCTTGCGCTGGCTGCCGCAGTGTTGGCCACTCTAGCAATGCCAGACATTGCCTCTGCTGCCTCGGCTAGTCCATTGCACAGGCTGTCATAGCTCTCATGCATAGGAACTAACATACATACATAGACATGCGCGCGCGCGCACACACACACACACACACACACACACATACACACACACACACACACACACACACACACACACACACACACACACACACAAGATTAAGGATAAGGATAAGTTGCGTTTCACACACACACACGTGCGCGCACACACACACACACACACACACACACACACCATTGGTACGACAGCGAACACGCAAAGACCTCCACCCGTTCCAGTACCTAACGCCGAGAGAACACCAAGAGTATGTAACTGTCATCATGGGCCAGTGTGCGATGTTCTACCTCTATTGTGTAACTGGTCTGTATCACGCTCTGTTCTCATGCACTCAGCACCATAGTCTCTGGTCTGTATCATGCTCTGTTCTCATGCACTCAGCACCATAGTCTCTGGTCTGTATCATGCTCTGTTCTCATGCACTCAGCACCATAGTCTCTGGTCTGTATCATGCTCTGTTCTCATGCACTCAGCACCATAGTCTCTGGTCTGTATCATGCTCTGTTCTCATGCACTCAGCACCATAGTCTCTGGTCTGCATCATGCTCTGTTCTCATGCACTCAACACCATAGTCTCTGGTCTGTATCATGCTCTGTTCTCATGCACTCAGCACCATAGTCTCTGGTCTGTATCATGCTCTGTTCTCATGCACTCAACACTATAGTCTCTGGTCTGTATCATGCTCTGTTCTCATGCACTCAGCACCATAGTCTCTGGTCTGTATCATGCTCTGTTCTCATGCACTCAGCACCATAGTCTCTGGTCTGTATCATGCTCTGTTCTCATGCACTCAGCACCATAGTCTCTGGTCTGTATCATGCTCTGTTCTCATGCACTCAACACCATAGTCTCTGGTCTGTATCATGCTCTGTTCTCATGCACTCAGCACCATAGTCTCTGGTCTGTATCATGCTCTGTTCTCATGCACTCAACACCATAGCCTCTGGTCTCTATCACGCTCTGTTCTCATGCACTCAACACTATAGTCTCTGGTCTGTATCATGCTCTGTTCTCATGCACTCAGCACCATAGTCTCTGGTCTGTATCATGCTCTGTTCTCATGCACTCAACACCATAGTCTCTGGTCTGTATCATGCTCTGTTCTCATGCACTCAGCACCATAGTCTCTGGTCTGTATCATGCTCTGTTCTCATGCACTCAACACTATAGTCTCTGGTCTGTATCATGCTCTGTTCTCATGCACTCAGCACCATAGTCTCTGGTCTGTATCATGCTCTGTTCTCATGCACTCAACACCATAGTCTCTGGTCTGTATCATGCTCTGTTCTCATGCACTCAGCACCATAGTCTCTGGTCTGTATCATGCTCTGTTCTCATGCACTCAACACCATAGTCTCTGGTCTCAGGGGCGTCACCGGACCCCTCACAGGGGGGGGGGGGGGGGGGGGGGCACAGGAATTTTGCACAGGAAAACACGAAAAAGTTCGCTGATAGTGAGCTGGCCAGACGCTTTCCTTTTTCGAGAAGACGACATTTTGAGAGGAACCAGCTTCAAAGACTCTTCAAACAAACACCCAGCACGCCGCCGCGCGTGTAGATTCTAGTACAAGGCCAAAGGATGCAGCGCTGCGCACACGTGCACGGGCGTAGTAGGTAAGTACTAAATAATTAATTAGTAGCACTAGTACAATCGGTCGTGTACATGTACATGCACTCGCTACATGCACTCACGCGATCGCGGCAGCGCAGTACAACTAGTTTTAGTGCATGCAGTTTATTAGTAGATTCTACCAGCACTACACTTTTCATAACCAGGAGTTCGCAAAAAACCAAGGTCGAATTTTTTAGGGGGGTGCACGTGCCCCCGTGCCCATCACGGGTGACGCCCCTGGGTCTGTATCACGCTCTGTTCTCATGCACTCAGCACCATAGTCTCTGGTCTGTATCATGCTCTGTTCTCATGCACTCAGCACCATAGTCTCTGGTCTGTATCATGCTCTGTTCTCATGCACTCAGCACCATAGTCTCTGGTCTGTATCATGCTCTGTTCTCATGCACTCAACACCATAGTCTCTTGTAACAGAGCATTCTCTTTTTTTGGACATTATCTCACAAACCATATCATTGTTCATTCCACTGAAGCTCACTCTCTCTCCCTAAACCCATGAAGACAAATCACGATGTGGTGAACTACTTGTACAATCTAGTCCCTTACTGAAAGTGCTGGAAGAATCCGTGAGTGACGAGGACACTTGTGTACAGAACACGTCCAGAAGGTCGAAGATGGGATAGTCTGGCCGTGGAGATGGTGTCTGTCCGCCTTCCACTGGCGAAGGACTGTCAGGGAAATCGCGGTGGCCTGGTCGGTAACCACCCTAAACACACACACCCAGAACACACACAACGCTAGTAAGTAGTCACAAGCAACAAAGTCATACCGGTAATAATTATGTCTACTCCAAACCTGCGCAGGTGGATGCTCGAAGGAGCAGTTATGATTTGGGTGTGAGTCACCTTAACACCAACACTGGATATACAAGACAGTGGACCAGTGGACCAGTAGACCAGTGGACCAGTGGACCAGTGGACAGTGTGGACAGTGGACAGTGGACAGTGGACAGTGTGGACAGTGGACAGTGGACAGTGGACAGTGGACAGTGGGCAGTGTGGACAGTGGACAGTGTGGACAGTGGACAGTGTGGACAGTGGACAGTGTAGGTGTACACTAGATATACAAGACATGGACAGTGGACAGTGTGGGTGCAGCAGTGCCAGCACAGTGACACCGGTACACAATACAGGTAGCAGTAGCAGCAGTAGCAGCAGCAGCAGCAGCAGCAGCAGTAGCAGCAGCAGCAGCACACAACTTATTTACACGTACAGACCACGCCGAGTAACTGTACAGAAGTATAACACCTGCATTCGTCTGGGATACTGATTCACAAAAACCTGATGGAACGGAGTGCAACAGCAGAAAGTCACAAGGCGAGGTGGGCAGCCACTGGGAATTCGTACGTACCGACTTGGCTTTAGCGCTATCCAACGCGGCTACAGCCTTGGCGTGGTGATGTTCTAGCACGGATATCTCCTCCGTCAGTTGGTCGTGGATCAGCTGCTGGAGGCGAGATGAGTTCTGGATGATGAACCCCACGGCTGTCAGCGAGTCCATCAATCTCTGGCGTTGGTCAATCAGCATTTGAAGATGTCTGCATACGAGTAAACCGACATAAACCAAAATTCAAACTCTTTGTAAGCAAATGTTCACAGTGCAGTATATGCCACAATGCAACACCACCAATACAGCAACACCACCAATACAGCAACACCACCAATACAGCAACACCACCAATACAGCAACACCACCAATACAGCAACACCACCAATACAGCAACACCACCAATACAGCAACACCACCAATACAGCAACACCACCAATACAGCAACACCACCAATACAGCAACACCACCAATACAGCAACACCACCAATACAGCAACACCACCAATACAGCAACACCACCAATACAGCAACACCACCAATACAGCAACACCACCAATACAGCAACACCACCAATACAGCAACACCACCAATACAGCAACACCACCAATACACCAACACCACCAATACAGCAACACCACCAATACAGCTTCTCGCCAAAGACACTACCGATTCATTGGCTTTTCAGTTTTGAAATGATTTACACAATACAAGGCTGGCACATAGAATCAGCTTCATCAAAATGCTTTGGCCAATGCTGCAAAGCTACAATAATGGCCAAAGACCAAAGCAAACAAGACCCACGTTACGCCAAGTTCAGTGAATTTACAAAGTTTTACTTCATGTGGCCTACCAGGGAGTAACATTACAGAGATTCCAGTCTCTTACTTTGCATCCTCGTCCAAACACGCCAGTAAAACACTGTCTTTCACTGCAGACTTCTTTCCTGGTGTCTGTGAAAATAGACACAACAACAACAACAACAACAAGGCCATCGTGAGAATAAAAGATTTCAAAAAGATTTCAAACAACAACAAAAGGTTGAACATGCGTAGTCAATCGCCAAGAGAATGCTGATCGTACTACTAACGTTTGAAAACGGAACGTAGGTGACTAATTTCTTGCAACTGTTGAGCTTGAGAGTTTCATGCAAACTAGCCTCTATGCCTGTATTCATATGCGTTGGCCACTCGTGTAGTCTATCAACAGCAGATCCCTATCCCGGAATTGGGACACAACAAAAATCGTACGGTGTTTTCGATCGTGATGCTAGAGAAAGCACACGAACATCCTTGCAGATCATGCCAGTGTCGGGGAGTGAATGGAATCCTTGCAGATCATGCCAGTATCGGGGAGTGAATGAACATCCTTGCAGATCATGCCAGTATCGGGGAGTGAATGAACATCCTTGCAGATCATGCCAGTATCGGGGAGTGAATGAACATCCTTGCAGATCATGCCAGTATCGGGGAGTGAATGAACATCCTTGCAGATCATGCCAGTATCGGGGAGTGAATGAACATCCTTGCAGATCATGCCAGTATCGGGGAGTGAATGAACATCCTTGCACATCATGCCAGTATCGGGGAGTGAATGAACATCCTTGCAGATCATGCCAGTATCGGGGAGCGAATGAACATCCCTGCAGATCATGCCAGTATCGGGGAGTGAATGAACATCCCTGCACATCATGCCAGTATCGGGGAGTGAATGCATAAAAACACTGAATACAGGTTTCAGAATGTACAACTTAGATCTTACCACCGGCTCAGACTGCCTGGATGTAGGGCTGTAAGAACAACACAAACGACACGTTACAACAGAAGTTAGAACTCAACTATGCATGGGAAACATCGCCTGGCACTCGATGCCATTGGTGCAAGCCAGAGGAAACACAACAGCAAGCCCAGCTGTACATTGAACTACACCGCTGTACTGAACGTGGCTGTTGTGTTGGTTCTGGCTTGCACCGCTGCACATCAATATGAGGCATTCACATTCGCATTGCCTACTGAAACCATCAGATACAAATGGACAGTTGCAGCGAGCGGAGAAGACTTCGTTCGAAAAAAAGTGCGTCTATATTTCAAAATTTGAACATAAAATCTTGCATTGCCTGCAGATCTCACTGTTCAACGGGTCATTTCATGCAGGTCATTTCATGCAGGTTCGGCTCAGATGGCAACAGCCGGGTGAACTGAAAAGGAAGCCAGCATCTGAAAATGGTGTTTGAATTCAGAAAAGCCACAAACAAAATTATTTCAGGTAAGGCCCAGTAAGGGCCTCAGTTAAAGTTTGTTATTTTAGAGGCAATGATGATCTCATCCCCAGTCAGCACAGCACTTGCTAGCACTACTGCACACTCTGTAGCAATATCTACAAGTGAGTAGCAGCAGCAGCAGTGGTGAGAGCATAACGGAAGTTTCCTTGATGCAAGCAAGGCCCATATACTCATCTCCCCTGTCTCTCCTCTTACCTGATTGGTGACTCGGAACGGAGACGAGCTGGACTGCTGGACCTGAGTACGCAAAGAGAAGACAAATTAGAGGAAAGGAAATACGGATAAATGAGTTACAGAAGGAAGTGTTACAGCAACACAAAACAGGGTTACAGCAATAAAAAAGGATAAACTGCACGCTCCTATTCTATACACACATAGAGGCAACGTTGTGGATAAGTTCCAAGAACGTTTTCTCGTGATTGTCATCAGTGGCAATAACATCACAGTATTGATAAGAAGGGAAACCCCAACAACAGAGTACATAGAGAGAAAGTGCAACACATTTATTCCAATAAGAATGGCTGGAAGGAAATCAGACTAAAGCACAGTCCAACACCAATCATGTGGTGACGGCATTAAACCCACCTTTGGGGAGCAGCCGCAGCAGGATAGACCTCCATGAACGCTTCTGTCAACATCTTAGGCAGACTGTACAGTACACACAGAGCACGAAGAAACAAAAAAGCACGGCAATGTAGTCTACAGATAAGCATTTCAGAGAATGCACTGCACAGGTGGTCACCTGCCCATCTAGATGTGAGCAACAAGCCACGACTATCCACACCGGGAAACATCGTAAGTAAATCACAATCGAAAAGAAGGATGGAATGGCGAAGAAGCGACTGAGGAAGAAGACCAGCTAGTCGAGCTAACACACAACCTTGGTATCAGCCAGGTCTCGCCCATTATCAAGGCTGTGATCAACACATTAACACCATACACCATCGACCGGCTTCCTAGCATGGCCGAAAATGTCTGCGTTTCTGGCAGAAATTAAACAAAAGTGTGCTGGCGCAAATCGGTGAGGTAGTAGCAAGTGAGGACAATTTAGCGCTACACCGATACGGTGCCGGGAAGCAGTGAACGAAGTACTACGGGGCCCAAGTTGCATATGCTAAAAAGATCAGAACGTTCTGAACGTTGACCCCTTCGACAATGAAGTCCGGGACAGCCGAGCACAGCTTTGAGGCAGTGTTGTAGTACATGTTGAGTGACATACAAGCTGCATGCAGCAATGCAGGCACAGCTCTGCTAGTACAGGAGTAGCATACTGCCATCGTCGGTCACTGCTGGTTGGTGTGACCGGTCCAAGGAGGCCACAGTGAGCCTGGGCCGCATGAACAGTTTTCAGTGTGGCTTGCATTACCTTGCTGGTTTTGCAGCCTGGGAAAAGCATCATGTTCAGCAGCAACAGCAGCGACGTAAACAGTGAAGCCGGCACAGTGCGACTCATTCGCACGGCTTGCAAAGCACTGGAGGCGCACTGCAACGAGCAGTCTGGAAACCATACCGCGTTCAAGGGCTTCTTGCAAGCACGTGGTGTGGATGGTGTACCCGTGGCTTGCTTTGTGGGCAACAGGTTTAATATCTTGTTCCGCAATGCCGGCGGAGTGTATTAACTGAAGCACCACATGCTTGCGTTCTATGACACGGCATTTGGCACCCCAAACCGCCTGCATATTGCTGTGCGTAAGACCTGGGACAGGACTGCTATTTAGCTGGCTGGTGCGCACTCGGCATAATCGACAAGCTTATCACTAGGCCCCTTTGGAGAGAGCTGACGAGAGCAATGATCTCAGATATCAGCAGCACGTACACTCAGTTGTGCAAGCCTCTAGAGAGGTGGCAGAAGGATGCACGCAGCTTGCTGGATAGCTCTGCTCGACCATTCCATGGAGCGTCAGTGGCAGTAGATGATGTCCATAACGAGCTGTTCCTCGAGTCCCAAGCCAATGATGCCACCACGCTGGCTGTTCTGCAGATCCTTTGCACCGCTTTCAGCACCTATTCGAACAGGCTGCCAACTGATCATCTGCCAGGTGGCATGTACCACAACATGACTACTGAAGCAGCAGCAGTGATATCCTCGAGCGTAGCAACAACAAACGTGTGCAGTGAGCGTGCATTCGCCCAACTTGACAGACTCATGCGAGAAAAGCCCAATGCATCATTGGTGGCCATCGAAGGCATTATACTGTTCAGTGCCAACAACACTAGCGAGTGGCTCCAGCAGCAGTCACCGGAAGAACGGAAGGCTCTCTTAGCCAGTGCCAACAGTGGGGTAGAGCAGCATTGTCAGCTCTACCGCCAGCGTTGCAAAGCCATCGCCGCACACCACCGGCAGTAAATCCAAGAGAAGCAAGAAAAGAAGAGAAACAGGATCTGCAGCTCAAGCAGCAGCTCGCTGACGGGTAGGTAAGATGGGTCTATGGGAGAGCCAAGATGAAGTCGCTCTGAAGCTGACTGGCCTCCCTGCTTTCACTGCTAAAGTCAGTGCGCTGAAGACCCAAATTGGGTACAGGCAGCTGATCAAGCGCTCTTCCAATGGTCATCTGGTTGGAAGCCGCACACTTGGCAGCAGCTGGCCAAGAACTTGTTGATGGTGATATCTGCTGCTCCGCCAACCACGCCAAATTCAAGCTCTAGAACAGGTAAGTTTTGATGTGATTCCAACTACTGTTCAAATTATTGCAAACGTAGCTCCAGCCAGCTACTCCCTAACCATGTCTGTGTTTTAGAAAGTTTACGAGCCACAGGCAAACGAAGAAGACTTCATGATTTCTCCTTTCCTCCATGGCTCCAGCTAAACTTAACAAACAAACAAACAAACTACAATCTTGAGCTGAGTTTGAGTTTGATTCTCCTGCTACTGCGGACATGTGGTCCAATTATGGCAATCATCATTTTTTTTCTTGTTGGCCACGGACCTCATAGATTTTTGTGTGATGTACATGTAATACTGTAGAACAGCTAATTTTAGCGGTAGAATATTTTTTAGCGTTTTCTGAAATATGAAATATTTTAGCGATCCGAGTTTCAGAGTAAAAAAAAAGGTGACTAGTATGCAAAGCTTTAGCGAAAACACTCCTTTTTACTACGGCAATTGCCTAAATAGACGTGTTCAATTCAAAGTTTCAAACAGAGTATACAACGCAGTAGCCATGCTAAAACTTAAAAGTTAGCAACAAATTTCCGTTAGGTATTCCAACCTAATGAAATCTAATTCCAAACACCAAGTTATACTGCAGTCGGTGCCAGAAAAATCCCAATGAAAAACATGGTCAAAAGAGTCCTGGGTCATGTGTAGCAGTGATCAAGGGCTAGTGATTAGTAGCAGTGACCAAGAGCTATAGTGATTTTCAGGCATTTGCTAGGCACTCCCTGCCATGCAGTAAACATGATTGAAGAATAGCCAATGCAGTTATTTCTTACTCAGTGTGGTCGGCGTCGGCAACAAACTGCAGAACATTGAAGTCCCTGCTCTCGTCGATGCCTTCCTTGTGCAGACTAGTGCGCCCCTTCCTCTTGAAGCTCTGTGTCACATCACGCATCCGCTCACTTACACTGGCCTGTACAGACAGAAAGAAGAAACCATACACTGAAATTATCTACTATCCTACAATCACCCGCTGGCCATCGCTGGCCATTCTGCCTATTCTGGTCAAGGGATAAAGTGACCAGTTATGCAGCTTGCTCACTGGGACAAGCCGGGCGTCACAATGCAAACGCCATGCCAGGGTCTCTTACCTGTGAGGTGTATTCTTGGACAAGGTGATAGCTTTTGTGCTGCTGATTGGTGCGACCCTCCCAGAAGCAGTCCTGGAACAGAGAGCATGGCAACAACACAGGACACACACACAGGTCACACAACAAAACCATATGCAATGCCTCGCTGGGGAAAAAGAGCAATACAGTGTATGTAGCTATAGGGCAAGTAGCTCTCCCAAACTCTCAGTGACTACTTCCACCAACTTGGCGCTCAGCCATGTACACGTATCTCTAAAGAATCTTAGGCAATACCTTGTAGCGTTCATGGCAGTAATGTATACTAAGTACCGCAAATCAACTGGTATTGCACAGTAAGCACATTGCAAATTCTTTTCTCTCACTCTACCTCTCTTGCTTACCTGACATATGTTGTCTGACGTGTGCTTCTTGCAGCGATAGCGCAGTCCACGGATCGGCTGATTGCACAGGACACAGTCTATGTCATGATTGACTGCAGGTTCAACAAAGTACAAGAGAGAGAGAGAGAGAGAGAGAGAGAGAGAGAGAGAGAGAGAGAGAGAGAGAGAGAGAGAGAGAACAGTGCCTGGTGAGTAATCTCTTAACACATGACGTAAAGGACGGAACCTTGGCTGTCAGTGAATGTCACAAGGCTAGACTAACGTGACATTCACTGACCACTCGGCCACAGCAGCTGTCATGCAGAGATTGCAGACACATGCACCTCAAACACAGTTCAATCCCCAATTGTAAAAAAAGCTTTTGCAGATAGCGATCTACCATTCAAGAAGTATCATAACCAAACCCCTGGACCAGCAGAAGAGCAACTTTCATTTAGCATAATTCTCAGTATTGTGGGCTAATAGCCCGGTAGGAAAGCTGAGCTGGCGTTCTCCTTACCAAGCTCTGACTTGTTGAGCTTCTCCATGGCCCAGAGCCAGCTGAGCACACGTGGCTGCATGGAGAGCCACTTGGCAAGAGCAGATGGGCGAATAGCACGCGTGCTCTTGGCTCCCTGCGAAAAAGCGATTGGAAAAGCACACCGTGTGGTAAGATGTCAAACACACAAACATGTGCACGCTCACAGTACACTTACAACACACAAACATGTGCACACTCACACTCACAACACTGGTCATAGCCAAAATCTGAGCCCACATTGCATATTACACGTACTGTGACGTCACACAGATAGTGAAGTCACACAGATCTTCTCTTCAGTGAACCATGTAAAACGTAATCGTAATGCATTAGGATCGGTGCAGTCGTGTATGCCCGTGGTCTGGAAGAATGCAGCAGAGTGAAGTGTGAGTGAATTACGACCGAGTGACAAGATACTGAGCCAAGTTACAGAAGACCTTCGCTGATCTCCCCAAAGGGCAAGGATCCGCTAAAGCAAAAGTGGATAAGTGGAATCCATACCATGCTGCATGTGCATTGACATTCGAAAAGTGCAACATGATAAGACCGACTCGCATGCGCGGTCATACAGCCACTGGATGGTATAGTGTTTTTCCATGGTGCTGTACGGTGTCGTACGGTGTTGTACGGTGTCGTATGGTGTTGTATGGTGTTGTACGGTGTTGTATGGAGTAGAGTATAGTCACAGACAGTTTACACTAGACAGGCACTACTAGTGTACACTAGACAGGCACTACAAGTGTACACTGATCATACGGACGTTCAGTGCAGCAAACATGCAAGACCGTCCCCTGCTTCCACAGACCATTACATTCACGAGTGAAGTGTGGATAAGTGAGGCACCGGTGTACGGCAATGAACTCACAGACATCTTATACTGCACAACATACACACAAGAGGTTTCCAAACTGGAACACTCTCCTGGCAAAAGTGGCTCACCTGCCGGAAACAGTCGTCCACTGCCTGCTCAACAACCGTGTTGCTGAAATGTGCCAGCTCAAACACAAACTTCGTCAGCTAGACATGGAGAGCATAGCAAACATCAGATAAGATTGAAATCATCACCACCCACAATAGCAGTGGCATCATAAAAAAAACCTGACGCCTGGACATGGTGCACACTGCACAATACTCCTCAGTGTCAGTGCCAGGGTCAGCATAATATCTTTGCTGATTGCACTAGCTCTATCTACACCTGTAACCACACAGCCTATCAGACACGCACGCATGCACACACACACAAATGCATGCACGCACACAGGCACACACACAAGCACACACACACAAGCACATGCATTGCTCACCATGTTGGCATCATAGAGGACATTCGACACAGCGCGCCGCTCAAGATAACCAAGCCCATCAACTTGCTGGCAAACAAGCCCTGCAAAAGCACACGCGTACACACAGATGCATTCGGATAAGTGTTCATCAATGGAACCATCGCTGCATGAAAAAAATGAAAAAGGTCGTTGAAGGTGTACCGGTGAATGACGCCAGATTTAACTGCAGTCCGTTTCCAATGATCTACATGTGTGAATCCAAAATTAGGGAGGTTTAGTCCCACGTAATCCGTGGGTACTTTACATGTGTGTACCACGTGATACTCAGTGACCCACGTACAGACGTTTTCTGATTCACGACATACCGTGTATGGAGGCTCACCCACGTTCCGCCAGAACGTGGGTGAAAATCAGAATGGAGCGCATTTTGCGAGCTGTGAGGGTGCTCAGCTGAAGAAATTTCCGAAGCACGAAATCAAAATATTCGATGAACTTCTTAGGCCCGGGTAGCTTCGTCTTTGACCAGGTTTAGGCCTTTCGCTTCATGCTTTTGTTTGTTCCGTGTGACTTAACACAACATTGCAACGTGGATGCCCTTCATCCACTTTACGTGTATCACCCACGTACGCGTTTCCGTTACGTGGGAACTAAACCTCCCTATTATCTATTCCAACTCAATGACAACGGTAACAAGGACAGTAAAGTAAACACATCAAAACATTCACACCATTTCCATATCCCACTGAACATCACGAGGGAAGTTTCGCTTCACAGAAAGAAAGAAAAAACACGATGAACACCTAGTATGGAAATAATGTAAGAAGGCACGGACCACGAAATTCCATCATTCCATGCGAAAGCCACTCATACAGACTCCTGGCTTGTCTTTCCGCAGACCGAAGCCTTGCCTATATCCTACACATGTAATAATACCCTGGCTTGGGGGGTTGGTAGTGTGCCAGTGACAGTGCTGTAAGCCACACTCAACTCACACTTGATCTTTTCTGCTGCCTGTCCGTTGCACATCAGCACTAGGAAGAGCTTCATCGCGGCAGCACGGATTTGACCGGAGCGATTGCTACAGGGAACATGCAATATACCAAACAAACACACACACACACACACACACACACACACGCACACACGCACACGCACACACACACATACGTATATGAAAAGCGTGCAAATTACAATCGGCTATCAGCACAGTCAACAAACTGTAGGGCACCCAAGTTTGATGAACAGACCAGTGCTATTCAGTTTGTATCAACTAGCAGTGGCGTCGGAGGTAACGGAAACAGGAGCAGACATAGCAGCCGCAGCAGCAGGCTAACACAGTTTGAGCAACAGCAGCACCACCACTGCCACCACTAGCAATAGCAACAGGTACTAATAGCTAGCCAAAATGCAAGCAGACACTTACATATCAAACACGGAGAATATCCATGAGAGCAGGATATCGGTACTGGAATCATTGTTGATCCTGTCCACCCCGGCCTCCTCCAGCTTCTTATAGAGCAGTGAGAGGGTGTTTCCAGCACTGAGAACATTGATGTAGGTATCGTTCTGTTGCTCCAGTCCACGTTCATGGATCACTTCTTGTACAACATGGAATGGACAGCTGTTCACTGTGCACAGCAGAGGAATGTAAACAAGTTAGGTTAGTCATCTCACACTGCCAGTAATGATCTACTACAACTTGCTATCTCACATGATCCTTATTTCTGTAATTTGCAAGTTATGCCCACTTTATGGCAAGGTTTACTACAGATAGCCTGAGCGAGGTTCGCTACCCGTGCGAAAATTTCTGCTGATCACTGGGACACTACACACATTCGGCATGATAGTTTAAATTGAGACATGCATTTGCATCCGCTTACAGCTAGTCTTGCGGCACAGTTCACGAAGCTTCAGGGCAGCACGATACGCTGCAAAGTGACAGTAGTTTTGACTGGCTGCATGGAGAGAGAGAGAGAGAGAGAGAGAGAGAGAGAGAGAGAGAGAGAGAGAGAGAGAGAGAGAGAGAGAGAGAGAGAGAGAGAGAGAGAGAGAGAGAGAGAGAGAGAGAGAGAGAGAGAGAGAGAGAGAGAGAGAGAGAGAGAGAAGGACAGTAAGGGAAAGCAGGTCACTCAACGAAAATGCTTCTGATAAAGCAGTGTATTATCTCAAAACAAAATTTTCATCTTCGTCGCCATTTGTTGTGTATTCACGTACACCCTACATGCAGTCTCACACGCAGCTCACCAGAGTCAACCAGCCGGCATGGATACATGTAGAGTAAGACCATGATTCAGAGCATGCGCAATGAGTATATACAAATGCATACAGAGTACATAATATATTACATCAGAGTGCATATATAACACAGTGAAAATCAGGCACAACAGTAACAGCATTCTTCCTGGACGTAAATACTAAATAGTCTTCGTGGAACAATTGAATGCATTTAAAACACAGTAACTCACATAGGGTCAGTCTCCACTGATGTAGGACTGGATGCTCCCATTGTGCTACGCAGTGCTCCGTACTAGACAAGTCATAAGCCAATATACAAACACACACACACACACACACACATGCACACACACACACACACACACACACACACACAGAGCGCTATTGCTTTCAATAAGATTGACGTTTTGACAATATGCCCAGAATTCAGCATGCCAGCCCACCATCATAAAGGAAATCACATACATTCATACCACGAGAGATAGTTACGTGCCTTGTCCTCAACACACCACCAGTACACGCACTCACGCACAAATGCACGCACATACGCACGCACATACGCACGCACATACGCACGCACACACATCTATAATGAGACAACAGGTCAGGCCATGGAATCTTGAAACATGGCAACACAAAAAATTAACCAATTACAGGAGACAAAGTTACTCACTCAAAGAAGAAAGGAACCAGTTTTTCATTCTCCGCACGCACCCAGTTGCCCGGAAGATCTGAAGTTGGAAAGGAATCAAGAAATGAGGGCAAGTGTGAGCAAAAAAGTATTATACAAAACTTCACGGTTCAAATGAGACCCAAGGGGGGGGGGGGGTCGAATTATTCTAATGCAACGGTTGCTGTGCACGGCTGATATATATATATAGAGAGAGAGAGATAGAGAGAGAGAGGGGGGGGAGTCAATAATGATCAGTTAGTTTCAAACTATTTCCCCCTCGCCCTATAAATGTCGCGTTTTGTTACCCTAGTTGCCCCTTTTGCATGAGTTTCGGAGACATTTTTGAATTTCAAAATACGGTTAGTGTTAAGGATTTCTGTGTAAACCGCGCTAATTGACACCATATTGTAAAGTGGTTACGCGCAAACAGCCGTGTAAGCCTCACCATTTTTAATGGAATCATCATAGCAATGGGGGTTTCTACGTGTACCTCCATGTGAAAGGGGGTTTCCCTTACCGTATGCGAAGGTTTTGTCGTAGGTTCCATGGGAAATGCCTGCGAAAGGTAGATTCCGCGGGGAACACTCCAAGGTCTTCCAAACTTATCCACCCCTACCTTTGGATGAGATCGTGGAGTAAAATTTGGAGGGGACTTTCGTTTCCTGGAGAGGCCGATAATCCATGTCGCCAGAAAAAACGAAACTCCTCAAAAAGTCAAAGAGTGACGATCCCCCCCCCCGCCAGACTGCAATGTCCGCATCCGTAGGAACACAGCCACCCTCAAGGATCAAGGCACACATGCAGCTTGTAAACTAAAGCAAGGGAGGCGAGTAAGTCAGACCCACCAGAAAGTGGTCAAAGACCGAGAATCCCATTCACTGCATCCAAGGTTTCCTCGTACCAGTTCACGAGTTCCAATTGACTAAGTTTCAGCCTCTAGTCATTTACCGCTGAATAAGCAAGCTAAAGAAATTGAAAAAGAAAAGAAAATGCGAGGTCTTACTTTGTTCAGGCGACCATGCGTCCGGCTGGTTGAGCCTATCCTCGGCCATCTTCAGCAGCTTGCCGCGTCGCTCCACTGATTCCTTGAGCGCCTGCAGTCGCCTGTGCAGGTCGTCGTAGTGCTTCTGCAGGTCATCAGCAAACTTGATGTGATCGGCGGGCAGTGGCTGGTACAGCTGGTCCATTACGTCACACAGGTTCTGCAGGTCGCCCACCTCGCCTTCAAATTCCTGCAAAGAGAGCAGTAGGAAAACATGCACACCGACAGTGCTTGGAATCGTGTACAAGATCGGAGTAAAGCACGGTGGACCGTGGTGCTTCGGTGCTCAGTATCATCACCATG